GCTAAGCGCTTGCTAAGCACTCGCTAGGCACGGTCGATGCAAATATATCGCACAGATCAACATACCAGAGCGATGAAAGGGGTTCGAGGCCCAACAAAGCATCTGCTGAGAGACTGTCGCCTGCCAAGCCCTTAGCAAGCTACTAGTAAGGTTTCTTGGGGGGGAGGGGGGGCATAGGGGGGGGAGGTTAAATCTCCATGAAATATATAAACGCCCTCATCTATACACACACACCCACATATATATATATATGTATATACATACAAGCACACACACACACACATACACATGCACAAGCACACGCACGCACACACACACACACACACCCGCGCGCGCGCAACACTCTGCCCTTTGAAATCACAGATGCATATCGACACTGATACATAAGTATTGAGATGACTAGAACAGGCAACTGGAATACGAAGCCTCGTTGCGACCTCACAGACTAAGACCTGGGATTCTTCAAGCACAGTATGCAATGTTAATCTTGAGCCAGTGGACAGATTTAGACATCATCCTCGTCGCGACACCAACACTGGGCTTGGGAGCAAACCGGTTCTCAGACGTTACGCAATGTATCCTAGCAGTAGTGAGATCTGTTCATGCCACAAACCGATGCCTTGAGTTCTTACCGCTCTGTCAATTCAGCAAGGCCGCCCAAGCCAAACCATCTTGCCAGCTGCAGGCACATGCCAGCCTGCCAAGCCCAAAAATCTCAACCCGGAACCCGAAGTGGCTCAGCAGGAACCGCAAGGATGACATCATTATATATGTACCCACACTGTACACGTAGATTACCGTAGATTCAAATACATACGCTAAGTTTATGCGGCAACGAAGTGCACAGAGACATGCACAAACGAGATGCTTGTACTATGTCTCTGCCTGGCTTTTTTATGCTACCTTCAAACAGGCCAAGGAGGATCTGGTGATGCCCATGATCATCATCATCATCATCATCATCATCATCATCGTCACGGCGATAGCAGCCCGGACAGTAGTAGCACCCGAAGTATCCAGCCCCTGAATGGCTTCGAGCAGCGATCAGTGGAGGCACTGCCAGTGCTGCGAGCACCGCACAGCTTCCGGTCCCTGGCCACCAGCCTTGGGGTCGGCACGGGCACTAGGGTTTAGGGTTTAGGGTTTAGGGCGGAGGACGGGAAGGTTTAGGCCTTTTGGGGGAGCGTCTAGATTTTCTTTCCCGCGTAGACGGTTTCAGTGCAACAACATGTAAAACAGATGCGAAGGAGCTTGCTCCTGCATGTTTGTGATCCCAGACTGCGTTTACTTAGTTTCGGAAGCTATCAAACAACGGACCCATCTTTCAAATGTCTTAAGCCGAAACAGCAAGGGCTGAAACCCATGCAGAAAGCCCTTAGCCAACAGGTCCAGGAACTCGGCTGGTACTGCCACAGTTTTTGTCGATAGGGCCACTCCTGTCCCAACAGCTCGGACTTTCAAGGGGCGGCATCAGTGGCAACTACTACGGCCGTGCATTGTCCATCGCATCGTATAGAAAAGATTATGCGCAAATTATCTTTACTGTTGGTGAAGATTTTGGGCATACTCGGCAACAAAGGTAAAAAAGGGTTGTGCTGTTGGAGAAGTCCGCACGACAGAGCCTACACCAGACGGCAATAACGTAACAATAATGTGCAGCAACTACAGCCCGAGTTTCGAAGCTCGTTGTCTCGTCGAGCTAAGTGAGCAGAAGCTGTGTGGTTAGAAGTGCGTTAATGGGACCATCGAGTTTAGGGCGTCGAGGGTATCTCTCACAAGGTTTGTAGCTTCTGAAATTCCTGCCTGCTGTAGGGGTTTTCGCGTTTGGGGCAAAGCGGCGTTGCGGGCTCAGGGTTTCAGGGGGCTTTGCGTTTTGGTGTTTTGACATCACCGACAGCAAACCTGTACTTCGGGTGATGCTTCCATTTCAAACCTTTATAGCAGGCCCCAAACCCAGACCAGAAACACCTTCGAAACCTGGGAAGCTTTAGTTCGTGCATTAAGCTGCGACCGGGTGTAATATTTCTGATGAGTGAAACCTTAAAATCCTGTATCAAAACGTAAGAGAGCCCATGACACCCTCGAGACCTGACTATACACTTCGGCTCCTGCTCGTACCATCCGCCGGGGCCCTTCGGATGCTTCGCCACAATCTGGGCATCGTCGGGTTCAGGCGTTTAGTATAGGGGCCCTAACAATTACCAATACTGGCTTTGGGGGTTCCTTATTACAACTATACTATAAACTACGCCAAAACCCTGTTCTGATTATAACGGCCCCCACATTTGGGTTTAGAGTTCGGGTTGAGGTTTATGGGGCGTTTAGGGTTTTGAGTTCAGGGCTTGGGGTTCAGGGTTTCTAAGCCCGACATTCGAAGTGGGGTAGGGCAACTTGGGTTTAGGGTGCAGGCAGCTGAGGGCACTGGACTACTTCATCATCCTTCATGTTCCTACTGCTCCTCCTGCCTTCTCTCTGTATTCTGTCGCGTAGCAAGCGACTACAGCGCACACTGTTGCCTTCATGGAGTCGAGCTCGCAGGTTTAGAGTTTAGGGTTACTTTGGTCTTGAACATTCGACTATGCGGAATGGGAAAGAGGAATTTGGAGGTGGCTGTAAGGTTTTGGCCGGTTTAGTGTCTGATGGTTTAGAGTTTCGGGGCATGGGGGTCCTAGGCTTTGGCATCTTCTGGGTCGCGGGTCTCGAAACCCTACCCCCAACGACAATCCGCAAACATCCCTAAAGCCGAAACCAACCTGAGACCTGATGTCTGCAGATCACGCGACTTTGTGGACGAAGTGATTCACCATGTCCTGGCAGGGTTCAGGGGGTAGCTGGAAGCATCTGAAGACCTCCTGAGCCTAGTACGTACGCACACCTCGAGGCCTATGGCTCGCCCCATAGCACCCCGAAGCGCTGCTGTTCGACTCTTAGTCTGAAAATTGTCAGAGAAAGAGCAACTCAAACCACAAAAGTCACGTCCTCTACAGGGATCGTATTTGCCTTGTCCACATTCCACCTGTGCGCTCGGTGAGTTGCATCATGCACACAGAGCAGTTACCGCGACGGAATGCAGACCCCTGGTTTTGTTTAACATCCCTCTTGTTTTGCAGAACCATGAAAATGAGATCCCTCTGAAAGAAACACTGGAAGCAAAGGCTGTACTCAGTGTAGACTCCTGTCGCTCATTCTCAATGCTGTCATAGTTAGTTGTGATTGGCTGCACAAAAAACAATGGCCATTATCGTGATGGTGGCCAGCAAATTTAATCGTGGTTCCTATAGGTAGAAGTCGTAAATCTGAATCTGAATGTTCATATCGACAGGGGCCTTTTATACCTCAGGGTTCTTACGATGAGTATACTATAATGTATCTCAAAACCCGATTCTAATTATTGAGGTGCTTATGTTAAGCGAACGAAGAAATTACCACAAGAATCTCCGCCTCGACATGACCTCCGGGGTCTCGGGGCCCCAGTTGAGGCCAAGGTAGCGCCCCAGCGTGTATGGCACGAAGATGGTTTCCACCTGTCAGGGACCCTAAACCCTACACTCCAAACCCCATCAAGTAGAGTTTCGTCCTCATCTTTGGGTCTTGCAGTTTGCGATTTCAGGATTTCGGCGCGTAGCATACGGGGTCTAAGGCTTTAAGGGCTAAACGGCTAAACCGTGGCTAAACTACCGAAGCCTAGGCCCCCTCATGGTCATGGTCCGAGTCATGGTTCTCATGCTAGGCATGGCGACACAAGCAATGGTCATCACAATCTTAGTCATCTTTGCTTTCGTACTCATCTTGGTGCTCCATCTGACC